CTTTCTCTCTCTCTCTCTCTCTCTCTCTCTCTCTCTCTCTCTCTCTCTCTCTTCCCCAAACCCATATATAAAAATGACTGGAAGCCAATAAAAAAGGTAGTAATGATTATCTGCTTTTGTTATGATTACATGTTACTTTACTGTCTCAACAGTCTTATAATAAAAAAAATTATTTTTAAAGTAAGAAAAAAACTTGGCAAAGAATTGTGAAGTTATAAGATGAATCTGTTGGTACAAAAGCTCAGATTGGTCTGGCGAGATAGCTTAGCAGACTAAGCATCTGTTTAGGAAAGTGCAGAGACTGGGGTTCGATCCTAGCACCACAACCTGTGCCATCCCCATCCCCAGGCGTGCTGAGCTGGCCACTGAGTCTGGGCATGGTAGCACAGGCCTTGTAATCCCAGTGTTGGGGAGGCTGAAAACAGGAGGATCACTAGGAGTCTGAGCTGTGTAGTGAGATCCTGTACCAAATATATAAAATTTAAGAAAAAAAAAAAAGCTCAGGTACATTTATAATTGATATGGAAATATAAATTTAGGGCAATTAGTTTAATTTTTCTTTGCTTAGAATACTAGTATTTATTTATTTATTTATGCAGAACCTGGAATTGAACTCAGGCCCTTGAGCTTGCTAGGGAAGTGCTTATTCTACTGAGCCATCTTCCTGGCTCCTTAGAGTATTATTAAAACTTGCTTTTATGCCATTTGAGGAGCAGGAGAGGACATAATTACATAATTCTGGAGGAAATAGTGGCAAAGACTTAAGGAAATATATATGGAATAAAATAGGATGATTCATCAGTAACTGGCTGTATTTTATATTCATCATGTCCATGCCTTTTAAAGTGCTAAAACCCAAGCTGTGGACTCAAAAGGGTTGGAGGCAGAGCCTATCTGAATGAATGATTTTTAAGTTTTCTGTAGATAACACAATATAAGAACTGGATATATTTGAACCTCATGGAAGTATACCTCAGAGACAACAAAACCCAGTGCCTCTCAAATTGAGAGTCTGCTATGATCTACATTCAGAAACAGCAACATATATAGGACAAGTGAAGGTACCGCAAAGAAGTTTTCCTCCAAACTATATGTAAGTAATTTCATAGCTTTAGCTCACTATGAATCACTCTAGAGACATACATGTCTGCAGATTAACTCTGGGCATAAGCCTTCAATGGCACACAATGGGAATGCTGAAATAATTTCTTGACTATTTAGGGTAAGATGATCCAGGTTAGTCAGTTCCTGTATATTCATTCCTTTTCTTTCATAGCTCCCAGTTTTTTCTTTTTCTTTTTTTTTTAATTAGTACATATTTGCAGTGCACAATGATTACATTTATTGTGATAAGTTTGTACATGTATTAACACATCCTAATTCGTTTTTGTCCCCCTTCCTTCTATCCTTTATTGTTCCCTCCAATTCTTATTTTCCTTCTCATTTGCAAAAGCTCTACATATTTCCTGATTGCTAACTTTCAAACTGCATAAATGACCTTATCAGAGAAAGGAAATGAAATTCAAACCAACTGATTAGTTCCTGTTAACATTTTTGGTCAAAGTGTGTGGGAGGAGCAGAAATAATAATGAAGTTTTAGGATTTCTAATTGATTTTAATTCTCCTTGTTAATCTTGTTCCCACTATCATATACAGATGAAAACTAGAATACTTCAACATTTCAGAATAAAATGGGCCTTAGGATATTTGAACTTTTCCTAACTTGGCTTTCAGAGGTCACCTTGGTCTAATTACAGGTCACTGAATGTTTGGGAACTATAAAAAACAACTTCTAAGCGCAGAGGCCAGGGTTTGATCCCTGGCTCTGCATGCATGCCGCGCCGGCCCTGCCCCTGGGTGCGCTAAGCTGGTGATAGAGTCTGGACGTGGTGGCACACGCCTGTAATCCCAGCACTTGAGAGGCAGAAATCAGGAGGATCACTACGAGTTTGGGCTGTATAGTGAGACCCTGCACAAAAAAAAAAAAAGAGAAAAAACCTAAAAAACAACTTTTAGTCACTGACATTTTGATAATCATGAAATGTACTTTGGGGATTCAAAGTGTAGCTACATGTTTTAGGAGTGCAGGGCTGAGATTTAGATCAGTGGTAGAGCATGTGCTTAGCAAGTACCAGGCCCTGGATTTGATCCCCAGCACCATAAAAATAAGTACAATAGTTTCTCAATTGTAAGTAATTCCTACCTGCTCTAATCAAAACATTTGGCAGACTTAAAAGAACTTTAAAGATCACCTTATTTAGGACTAGGGATATAGTTAGTGGTAGCGTCCTTGCCTAGCATGTGTGAGGCCCTGGGTTCAATCCCCAGCTCTTTTCTCCCCTATCCTGCTATTTATTTTTTTTGCAGAACCAGAGATTGAACTCAGGCCCTTGCACTTGCCAGGGAAGCACTTATTCCACTGAGCCATCTCCCCAGCCCTAATCCAGCTATTTAGATGTATTATAAATTGTAAAACTACTACAAAAAATTATAAAATTCTAAACTATAAAACTATTGTACAAAACTGTAACAGACTGGTGTTTATAACTTAATGTGATGATATATATTTCACAACCTGGGAGGAAAAAGTCTAATTTGTAGCATTTGTCAGTTTCCTTCTGTAAACATTCTTACTATAGTCAGTGTTAATACACCAGCTTGATGTTACTGAGTGATGAACTGGGAAGAGAGGAGTAGCAGCATATCATTATACCCCACTGCGATCACAGAACAGACGTAAATAAGTTTAAAAGCACAGATATTAAAATGTAGTAGATGATTAGGAAGTAAGGAGATCTGAGTATTTATTACCTATGGAGTATTTATTACCTTGAATGTAGGTTACATTTTCCTTAAATATAATGTTTAACAACAGCTCCCCTCCCCCCATGAGTAGACCATACTAACTAGCTTCAGCATACTATTTAAAGCCGCCCTGAAACTTACCAGGAAAACATGCTCAAATATCTGTGTAGGACTATCCATTTGACCAAGGATGACTATCATTTCATTATCTATAAATTCCTTGAATTCCCGCAAATTGCACACCATTTGCATTTCCAACTCTGTTCGTATCTGAAACCAAGATGACATATTGTATTAATCTCCATAAAATGTCTGTACTTCCAACCATGTACCATTTCTAGCCCCAAAGTTATTGTTATCTTACTGTTAGTCTTGGAACACTGAGAAGTCAGGGTCTCTTACCTCTTTCGAGGTGATGTTCTCCAAGTCCTTCTGCATCATAATCTCCCTTAATTTGGTTTTAATTAGCCTTTCTGTTCTCTCTCGTTCTGTTGGTCTGAGGACAGAGAAACAATGATTTTTCTTAGAGGAAACAAGTTAATGAATGTACCATTTTATTGTTTCCTAACTGGCAAGCTTTGCCTTCTATTATCTTCAAATTTATATTGTGGAGGCATGGTAAATAAAAATTACATTTTTAGAAGTTTCTTTTAAGAATATGCTGAATATAACATGTAGAAATTATTTTTGCTTTTTTTTTTTTTTTCGGTATTAGGGATTGAACTTGGGACCTCATGCTTACCAGGTAGGTGCTTATGCCGCTGAGCCATATCCCAGGCCCTAACATGTAAAAATTATTACTTGAAGATGTTATACGTGTTTTAAAACCCCTACATACATTCATGTATATAAGGACAAGCTGGGAAGCCTGAGTGTGGTTCTTGAATGGAGGACCACTTCCAGATTTTTCCATTAAGTACACCTAGGTATCACTTCCTGAGTTAGACTACTAAGTACAATAGTGGAATTGGATTTGGAGTTGAGTTTTCTGTAGTTTAAAATGCTACTATAGACTTATAATTCACTATTGTGGCTTTGAAAAATAGACAAACAGGAACAGTAATCTTGCCTTCTTCAATAAGGCAAATTATCTCAAAAATGGGTTGTAGGGATCATGCTTTCCTTTTTGTGACAATTCTTAGAGTATCTCTGTAAAACTGTTTTCTTCATCTTACAGATGAAAGAAACAAACACATTAAAATAACATACTAATATCATCATACCAACTAGCAGGAAAATAAAAATACTGACTCAACCCAGTCCAAGATTCTACTTATAGGACTGTGTTGTTTTCTGTAGTCTTTAAATTTCCTAAAAATAAAATTGCTTTTTTAACTTTTAATATATAATCAACCTAAGTAGCTGACTGATCAATTACTAGACAGGTACTGGCTCAATGTAATTTGATGTTTCTCTCTAAAGGCATTATTTCATGTTATACACTATATGAGTAAGGCTGACAGAAAGCACTTTCTGCCTCACCTTTTCCCCATACCTACTGAAGAAAGATATCTGCTCTACACCTCCTTATTTGGAGATGGAAATAGACTAAGGCTTAAGGCATCCTGCTTGCCCTTGCTGCCTACAGTCTTTATCACTGGCTGCAAAAATAGATTTGGTAATTTCCAAAAATGGATGCTCTAACTCTGCAGCCTTGGAGTTCCACATCACTTGGACTCTGAGCTTCTCACAAACTCTGTAGAATATAGAATACATTAATATAGATCCTTCCGTTCATAAGCGTGATGATTGGGTGTTCATGTCTTACAATGCATGAGATGTGCCTCCCTCAAACCTTGTTACGATGTGGGCACATTACCCGTCTGACATGAAAAAAAAAAAAAAAAGAATACATTAATATCTTAGCCACTGCCCTGTCAGTCAGCCAAGGCAGCCCTGTCTTGACTAGGAATAAAATTTTTTATCTCTGCTTCACTTTTCCTTGACATCGCTAATGATAAAAAGTAAACGTATAATTTTAGCATTCCATTAAAAAGATATTGGTAAAAACAAATTTTAGCACCTGTGCACAAATGTTATATTTCTTAGTTTAGTAATGTTTCTTGCAATCCTTTTTGCTTCTTTTAGAGTGGCTTGAGAGTCGATAGACATAGGTTTTAAATTTTTAAATTTTATTTATTTATTTATTTGTGTGTGTGTGTGTGTGTGTGTGTGTGTGGCCAGCTCAGCCCACCAGGGGGCGGGGCTGGCTGGCATGTGGTGCTGGGGGATTGAACCATGGTCCCTGTGCTTTTTTGCTAAGCTTGTTCTAAGTAGGTGCTTTAGACCATGAGCCATCTCACCAGCCCCAGACATAGGTTTTAATTTCACCCTTGCTACTTAATGGTGATATAACCTTGGATAGGTTCCTTCTATTCCCTGAGTCTGTTTTTTTCTTCAATAAAGTAAAGGCAATAGTAACACTTGTATCCTGAAATTCTTAGGAAAGGTAAATGAGATACCATATATGAAGTTCCTGGCATAGCATTAGATGTACTCCACAGACATAGATAGATACTTCCTATTCCTCTCTTAGGATTTCAAATATAAATGATTCATAGTAGAACATGTAAGTCCACTTTGGCATACATCATTCCTGTATACTCAACATTCTTTTCTAGTCAATTTTGGTAGGATGAAGAGGATGGAAAACATAGTACAACACACACACACACACACACACACACACACACACTTTTTCTTTGTTTTCAATGGAAAAATTTAGAAAATATGTAAAAATACAAATAAAAATTTCTCTAAAGATAATCATTATTAATAATGTGGCCTACACCTTCCATGTATTCTTTTCATATGAACAGACAGACATTTATTTATTAAACATATCTAAAATTGGTATTAGAAGGCTGGAGATATTAGCTCAGTGGCACAAGTGCCTGTCTAGTAAATGCAAGGTCCTGAATTCAATTTTTGGTCCCCCCCCAAAAAAAAAATTGGCATAAGAGTACACATAAAAACTAATATCTAAGGGATGGCCAAATAGCTCAGCAGATTAAAGTGCCTGTAAGCAGGTGCAGGGGCCAGGGGTTAGATCCCCAGGCCTGCCATGCGGGCCCCTCCCCAGGGGTGCGCTAAGATGGCAATTGAGACTGGGCATGGTGGCCCTTGCCTGTTCACCCAGCTCTTGGGAGGCTGTAAACAGGCAGATCACTACGAGTCCGATCTAGTAGTGAGATCCTGAACACCCTTGTAGACCCTTCCCTAAAATACAAAAAAAATTCCAAAGCAAATAAACAAACAAAAAACCCCCAAGTCCCCCTAATATTTAATGACCCTTAACTAGATTCCAAGAACTACCTTTTATGTTTGTTTTTTGCCCAGGAATATAGAGAGATTATGAGCAATTTCTTTTGTCATTTTTGAGGGGTGTACTATATAGTTTCAAAATTCTCTCTAGCTAGACATTGTCTTTTGAGATTCATCAGCCAGGTGTAAAACACAAAACCATGAATAACTGTTTTTACAAATTTGTATCTTTCCCTGGTACTGTTTCTTGTACATGACTCTTCAAAATTTCATCTTTTTATTATTTACTTATTTATTTATTTTTATGAATTTAGGGCAGGGTCTACAGGGTCTCACTATGTAGACTGGACTCATAGGATCCTCCTGTCTTTAATTTTTTTTTTTTTTTTTCAGAACTGGGCATTGAACTCAGGCCCTGGTGCTTGCCAGGGAAGCGCTTATTCCGCTGAGCCATCTCCATGGCTCCACCTCCTGTTTTTAGACTATTATCCAACTAAAGCTTTTAGAACAAATCAAGAATTGTTTTGGCATGATTTTAGAATTCATAAAGAAAATCCTATTCATAAGGTCAGATAGCTATTCTTTTCTAGTTGTGGAATACTGTGCAAGTACAGAAAGATCAATTCAGAGAAAAATAAACATTTTGATTAATTTTCAAAGGAGGAAATAAAAAATTTCCAAAATAGCCATAGACATTTCAACACATAAGCCTAAAAAGGAAATAAATATCAGCTCCACCTCTTTATCCAACTCACAGTACACTAGGAAGCTTTAATAAAAATTGCACTGAAAAGGACTCAATGCAAAGTGAAGAATGATAAACCGTCCTTAAAAATTTATCAGCAGAAAATAAATTTGAATATAAAATTTAAAATTAGCTTAACAACTAAAGGGTTTTTTTTTTTTTTTTTTTTGGTACTGGTACTTGAACTCAGGACCTTCTGCTTGCCAGCCAGGTATTTGTACTTCTGAGCTATATCCATGGCTCCTAAAATATTTTAAATTGATTGGAAATATCTTGTTTTCTTAACTACTACAAACATCCCTCTAAAAGCTTCTTGCCATTAATTTGTCTACCAAATACTCCTTTCAAAGATAATGTAACACAAATTTTATGTATTTGATACAGAGTCTCACTACACGCTTGGACTTGTAGTGATCCTCCTGTCTTCAGCCTTTTTATGTAATGCAAATTTTAACCCAATTACTTCACATTCACATTTCAAATAAGTACAATCTGAATAATGGATTTTATGGTTTTGGAGTTTTTCATTATGGAGATTCTGTTGTGCTCAGGCATGAAGTTCTTCATGACCTTTTCAGGAGGAAGAATGAGGTTCTTTATGTGTAGCCTGTGGCTGAAGAAGAGTATTGATGGTGACTACGACTGCTGGGTAATTCCCCAAAAAAGGAGATTAGAGAAGAACTCTATGGATTGGACACACAGAGCAGTTTTGCAAGCTGACTTACATGTCAGTGAAGAGAGCTGGAGAATCGGGCCGATGGGACTGCACATCCTGCATAGCATTCCACTCATTGACTGAGGACTGATCGGAGTTGATGTGGCTCTCATAATAACTCACCCAAGTAAGAAACAGGCTGCCTGGGTAGTAGTTATGGATTCTTGCGACCTCACAAGCCTTGTGTAAACTCTGTAGTGCAGACCTGCAAGATACGTTGGAAAATGAGCACTGTAGAACTGTGGGCTACCAAAAAGTCAATAGCATGTGTATATTTCGAACTCCTAATTGAAAAATAGACTAATGGAACTATTTATCCTATAACTGGAACAATGCTGTGGCTTTTGTTTTTGTATCATCAAAACCAAAAGAGCTCAACAACTTAATATACAAAGACTCATTTCCCTTGGCACAGAATCATGTAAGCCTACATTCTCTATGATTCTTAAGAGGTTCCACAAAGATCAGAGAGATAGATGTTGCTAAGCTATGAGGACATATTCTAGAAGTACTGATGCAGTGACACATACTTTTTGATGCTTTACTCTGCTAGTCTCTTTGAACCATTTATTGATACACATAAACTACTTTCTTTCTTTCTTTCTTTTTTTTTTGGTACCAGGAATCAAACTCAGGGCCTCATGCTTGCCAGGCAGGTCCTATGCCACTGAGCTATATCCCTGGCCCTATAAACTACTTTCTGTGAAAAGTTTTGGTCATTCTGAGACTGACTAAATTTTCTGAATTTGAACTCAGGGACCCAGAAAAGTTAAATCAAACTGCAAAGTATCTTTAGTTTATCTATTATACATGGAAAAACTTAAGCTAGAAATGCTCAGAATCAAATCACAGAAGAGCAAGGACCTTCCTACATTTTGTTTATTAGTATATTTCAAGTACATAAAAGAAGGCTTAGCTCACAGTTGAAAGGCCTAGCTCATAGATGAAATGAAATTTCTTGTTTTGTTTTGTTTTTGCAGTAGTGGGCATCGAACTCTAGACCTTGTGCTTGCCAGTCAGGTGCTTATGCTGCTGAGCTATCTCCCTGGCCCCGAAATGCAACCTGTTGAATAAAATGTCTTATTAGCTATAAACTATTATCATACTTCTAAAGGAAAAAAGGACAGTATAAGAGAATTCTATGCCCAATTCATTCATATTTTTTTTTCAAAAAAATCTCATTTTTCTCTTAAAAAATAAAAGCTCCCTTCAAAGCATTTATAGACTAGAGCTGGAGGTCTGTGGTAGAATGATCGCCTAATGCCGGAGGTCCTGGTTTGATACCCAGTATCTCATGAACAAAACAATTACAGCCTTTAGACAAAATGCAAAAGTATATTGTAATCTTATTGCTCAGAAATACTGTTCACATTTTAGTGTCTACCTTTCTAGTTCTTTTGCCTATCCACAGATCCATGATAAATAAGGATATAACCATATAGTGATAGATCTGAAACTTGCTTTTACTTTATACCCTGTAAATCAACATTTTTCCATCTCAATATTCAACTAGGTCATTTCCAACTGTTGCATAATGGTCAATGAAATAGGCATATCATAACGTAACTGATTCTTACTTTTCAGACATTTTAATTATTTCATATTTTTTTCTATTATTAGAGCATTGACATAGTTGATAATCTCTGTACATACACTGATGATTATTTTAGAGTACAGTTTTAGTAGAACCTCTAGGTTAAAGGGCATAGAAAACAGTAAGGCATGTTGGCAAATCATACTCCAAAAAGCTCCGAGCTAGAGTGGTGCATGCCTATAATCTTAGAACCCTAGGAGGATAAAGAAAGAGGACTATAAGTTCGAGTCCAGCTCAGAGAATTTAGTGACTTGCAGAGATTTTTCTCTCCTCCTCTCCAAAAAGTTACTCCAGTTTATTCTTCCATAAATAGCATATGGTTGAATATTCCTTAAATTCTTGTCAACTCTATGTTCTGTAAATTTAAAAGCACACTTTTTACCAATTTAATAAAGGGGTAATATGCCACTCTATTTTTCCTTAAAAACAAAACTGTAGAATGTTTGAAAAGCAATGCTTTTTAGAGTTGGAAGTGGTGGTACACACCAGTAACCCTAGCACTCAGGAAGGTAACGCAGGAGGATTATGAGTTTGAGGTCAGTTTGGGCTGAATAGTGAGACCCTATCTCAAAAATCAAAAGCAGTAGTGTACATCTATCATCCCAGCACTCAGGGAGGCTGAGACAGGAGGACTCCCACAGATTCAAAGCCAGCTTGGGCCACACAAGTCCTCTCAAAAAACTAAAACAGTATCAAAAATAAAAATGGGCTATTACTCAAAGTAAGTCAAAATCTTACGAATCTGTTTCATTACACAGATTCAAAGGTGAGGACCAGTGTAGTGCAACATGTGAGATAATTGCTGTGTGTTTTCTATAAGCCTGCTGCAATTGCTGCATAATACACTCAAGGGCTAGCACCTCAGATACTTTGGGGGTGGGGGTAAGGCTAGTAACTTTTTCAGGCTCTTTTATTTGTTAGTTTGCTTGCCTTCTACCCATTTAGGCCTTTTGCTTACTTCTACTACAGAACAGACAGCTGAATGAGAAACAAATTTATTGACTGTGTAATTTTTAGTAAGAGTCTACAAGGTCTCACTATGAAGATCAGACTTGTAGTGATCCGCCTGTGTTCAGCCTCCCAAAGATCTGGGATTATAGGCACACACCACCACACCCAGTCTCAATCTCCACCTCTCAGCGCACTCCCGGCTGGCAGCTGGGATTGAACCCTGGCCGCTGCATCTGCTTCAGCAGGTGCTTTAATCTGCTGAGCTATTTGGCCGGCCTGAGAAACAAATTGAAATGCCTGTCTAGGAGATAAAATTTCTGGCTATATTTAATCATTTTCCAGATAATAAAAAAGAATGAATATTTTATTCTAAATGAATGAGATATTCTCAGGCTAGATATACCCTACAAATCCTTAGTTTTCTTACCCATAAGAGGCCAATAACGCCATTTTGGGTGTTGGTATAATGATTAAATATAACCCATATAAAGTACCTGGCATAATGCCTGGCACATAGTAAATAACTCAAAAGTGTCAGTAATCCCGTTAAAGGCTATTAAAAACAACATTTTCTGTAGGCTATTTTATATTATGCAAGCACTCTTAGCAGTTTAAATGGAAATTTATCTCTCTGTAATATAATTTTGTAACTGTTATCCCTGATTACTTCAAAAAATCAAAAGCTAATGAATGCACAGCTGTAAGGTATTCTAAGCTGGGTATGGTGGCACCTGCTATAATCTGGGAGGCTGAGGTAAAGGGATTGTAAGGTCAAACCTGGACAACTCAGTGACCCTGTCTCGAATTAAAAAAAAAAAAAAAATGGCTGGGGATGTAGCTCAGTGCAAAGGCTTTACAGTTTAACACACACACACACACACACACACACACACACACAGAGAGAGACAGGCAGAGAGAGACAGAGAGAGAGAGAAAGAGAGACAGACAGACAGACAGAAAGATGTTTGGACTGGTTCTTAGCTAAGTAACTTAGTTGATATGTCTCTATAAAAGTCAGTCCCAATCAGCTATCTAACAGATTATGTTTCTTCCAGAGCCTAAAAATACCTTTAAATTTTACTTGTTCACCAGTGCTCCAGGCCTTCCTCTATGACAGTTTAAAAATTGTTTTTCTAGGTCATCTTTACATATAATATCTACAAAAAAATATTGCAAAAAAACCTTATAGGCACTAGCAATCATAGCATTTCATAGCACATTGTACCGTGTCAAATACCACTCACAAACTATTGGTCTTATCTCAAAAAATAGAATAGCTTAAAAAACACTTTTTTTTGTAGAGATAGTAAAAATCATCTTACCACATTGCTTGCACAGATACAGGTTTGAATATGTGAACTCTGTTATCTGTTGAAACGCTGAACCCACTAAGAACAAAAGAGAACAAGACAGAATTTGACAAACAAGGACATATTATTTCAATTGTAAGTTTTCAAGCTAGCAACAGCTAGTTCAATAGAAGGAATCATCATATATTTCATAGTTAACTAAAGCATAGAATTTGATGAAAAGCCCCAACAAATTGTTTGATTTCTATCTACCAGGCAAAAATGAATAGAATCCTACATCAGAGTTATAGGATTACATATAATTTCCTAGGTATACCTAGAGTAAATGGTCTGGCTGTGTATTTTAATTTGGAAATCTTGTGGGTTCTTAGAAAAACTGACCCTGGTTTTATAAACGGGTGCAAACATCCCAGTCTCTTGGGCACATATTCTAAAAGCATCAGGCTCTGGGGGTGGTAGGGTCACCGGAAAGAACCGGCATAGAAGAGGGGTTATGCTGTAGGTAGGCTGCCAGCTGGCAGAGGCTGTGAGGGGCTATTTGAAACAGAACCCATCCTCCTCCTCTGGGAGAGCGCTGCTGCAACAGTCCCACATGCTTGGATTAAAGAGTGAGCCAACAAACTACTACTTTTTTGTCTGGATTCCTACCATAGCTGGTCTAAAAGAAAAGAAGTGAGAGACTGGTAAGTTGTATTTTTATTCTACTTTATGAAATAGGAGTTTAAAAAGGCTCACTGAGAAGCGGACATGTCAGTTCAGTTGGGCACACTGGGCCTCCCACTGAACTGAGCGAATGGGTCACTAAGGTGGAACACCACCCCTTGGCTTTCTGTGGGAGAATAAAAAAAGGGAAGCTCTTACCCATCACCATCCAAATGAATTAGGGTGTCACTCCAGAGAGGCAGGACTAAACCCATGGTACAAGTGCTACTGCAAGATAAGAAATAGTCCACAAGTTACTTCCTGTTATTCTGGGAAGCAGTCTTTTGTTCATTAACTCTTTCAACACAAAGAGTAAGCCTCTAAGCTCAAAAAAGTGACCTGAGAGAATGAAAAAATTCTCATTGCATGACTATTAATCCTATATATCCTCAGGAGTTATTAAAAAGATAAGGTTTAGTCAGTTCCTTCCAAATTTACGTGCTGTTAAGCGAGCACAATTAGTTTCTGATGTATTTAACAGGAAAACTTATTGAATAAGACCCCTGTATTGCTGTCTTGTAAACAGCTACTATTTAAAACACCCAGCCTAATACTTGTATTTGCTAGCTTTTAGTCCAAAGTATAGCTTTCAACTCAATTCCAAGGTCTGTTTCTTAGCTGGGCATGGAGGTGCATACTTATAATCCCAGTACCTTGGGAGGCTGAGGCAAGAGGACTGCTGCAAATTCAGACCAGGTTGGGCTAAATAGTGAATTCAAGGCCAGCCTGAAGTACATAGTGAGACCCTGTCTCAAAAACCAAAGCAAAGCAAAGCAACAATCAAATAGGACTGTTTCTTTCTCTCTCCTCCCTCCCTCCCTCCCTTCCCCTGCCCTAACTAGGAATTGAACTCAGGCCTCACACTATGTATATTATATCCCTGCCCTATTTACATTTTTATTTTGAGAAAAGGTCTTGTTAAGCTCCCCAGGTTGCCCTGAAACTTGTGGTCCTTCTGAATCACCTTTTACATTTTATTTCATTTCACTTTTTTTCTTTTCTTTTTGTCTGGCGGAACTGGGGATTGAACTCAGGCCCTTGTGCTTGCCAGGGAAGCATGTATTTTACTGAGCCATCTCCCCAGCCCCTCATTTCACTTTTTGACTACTGAATATGTTCTGCTGTTCAAAATGTCTAAGCAAACCTCAGAATTAGAACTGTACAAATCACATATTCCAAAGTTTTTGTAACTAACAGTAGTTCCTGGCATTACACAATCCCTGGACTAGCTGGGTCCTGTGGCAAATTACTGTAATCCCAGCTATTCAGGAGACTGAGGTAGATTACTAATTGGAGGCCAACCCTGGCAATTTAGTGAGACCCAATCTCAAAAACAAAACAAAACAAAAAACCGGCTGGGGACGTAACTCAAGTGTAAGCATGTGCCTAGCAAAAATCAGGCTCTGGGGCTGGCAGAAGATAGCTTGGCAGTCTCAGCGCCTGCCTGGCAGGCGTAAGGACCCGGCTTGGATCCTCGGTACCACATGTTGTGCCAGCCACCAAAACTGGGCATAGTGGCCTGTGCCTGTAGTCCCAGTGCTGGGGGGTCTGAACTGTGTAGTGAGACCCTGTACCAACCAACCAACCAACCAACCAACCAACCAACCAACCAACCAACCAAATAATTAAAAAACATTAAAGAAAAAGTGAGACCCTGGGTTCAATTCCTAGTATGGAAACACATGCACATACACTCATGTCTCAAAATAGGCTTTTGAACACAGTTGCATCATATCTGAAGAACTACTTGTACTTTTCATAAACAGCCTCAGTTCTGCTGTGTTTGAATATTATTTTGAAACATTAAGTTTTTATATTCTCAGATACAAAATAACACACATTGCAAAAGCGACCCAGATGGAAGTGACATTATATGTGAATAGCAGTATTTCTCTCCCTATTCAAGGGGCTCATTTAAGCAGATGTATAGGAATTTCATAGTATATACCAAGTTTACAAAACAGAATGAAAACTAGCTTCTAGTTTTCATGTTACATTTTGTCTTCTATAAACTAAAATTTCTTTTAGAGGTTCTTGTCAGATATAGGCAGGGTTATTACAGCAGACAGAAATGGTTCATTAAGATAAAATTACTGGGTATCCCTTTGCATTCTTTCTGGTAAAGTTTAGGACAGAGAGAAAGAGATAAAATTAGACACCTGATTGCTCACACTCTGGGTTTGAACAATATGAATTACTGCCTTCTGTCTCTAGGGTAAGAATCAACTGAGTTTCTATGCAGCTCCAGTTCTTATAAGGGAAGAATCAGGAAGAACTGAACAAAGGAATATAAACTAGCACAGTTCTGTCCCACTGAATTTTCTGGAATAATGGCAACACTCTATATTCCTAATGTTCCATAGGGGAGCCACTAGCCACTTATTACTACTGAGTACTTGAAATGTGACTACTTATGACTGAGAAAGTGACATTTTAATTCTATTTGGTAGGTTTATCAGGTGAAGAAGCAGCAGAGAAAGAGGCAGAAGGAAAAAGGGAAAGGGGCTTTATTATCTTTGAGAGAATTTGGGGAAGACAAGGGATTCTCTGAACTGAAACAAAGGGAAGCTGAGGCTTTTATGGCCTTTTGAATTTAAGGAGGATGTTTAGAAATACCTGAAGAGCTGATTGGGGTCTTCCCTGAGGCAGTGGGAAAGGTGATCAGGAAGTACACTCTGGGCAGATTGGAGAAGAAGGGGAGAGGTGATCTCTGGGAAGATAAGCTACTGTTTTAGGGGCTTCAGCAATATTAGATGACTATCATAATAATTCAGCAATTTGTACTAGGGCCAGAACTTCTCACTGTTATGTACATATCATCACTTTTATTTAAATATCCACTGGTAATTAGTGGCAAATATTATTAAGAGAATAGATCAAGAGAGGAAGACCCAAATCAGAGTTCCTAAAACTCTAATGTAGACAAGGTAGGAGCTCTTACAGGAAAAGTTACTGCTAGAGAAGTGTTGCTTGGGGCTGGGGAGATAGCTCAGTGGTCTAAGTGCCTGCTTGGCAAGCTCAAGGATCCAGGTTTGATCCCCAGTACAGTAATTCCAGCGCTGAGGAGGCTGAGACAGGAGGATCACTATGAGTCCGAGTTGTGTACCAAATAAATAAATAACTAAATAAATAGAAGTGTTGCAGAGGTAACAACCGAAGTTATAGGAGAAAGCTTCCTAAACTGGTTTACAAGGCTGTGTAAATTGAGAGCATATGTTACAAGGGATTTACAAACTAATAACTCTGGTCTTGTGATCTCTGTGAATCCACAAGTCATTTTTAGGTTGATGTCTATGTCTAAGCTCAGGTAATTATTGGTTTGGGAACTTTTCTAGCAATAATGAGATTTTTCTCCCTCAATATCAGGACAATCAAAATCACTGCCATTCTTCTGCTCTTTTTGTGGCTAAATTGCCCCAGGCCTGGGTCACACCCACCCTGCTATTCCACAATTCCATTCTAGTCCTCAACCAGGAAGTCAATGCTTTGAGACATCTGGCAGGATTTCCTGCCCCTGCCTTATTATCTCAAAGCATAAAGATCTGCTTAGCAGCCACATTCCACAGTCTTCCCAAGGTTTCTCCTGAACAAGTGGGGGAAAAAAGCGCCTCAAATGCTAAGGACATTAAAAAAACAACAAACAAAACAAAACAAAAAATGCCAACAAAACCCCCCAAAACCTACATTCTCTCTGATATCTTTAGCCACAGGATGTAAAGTACAGCTAAATCCAGAGATACATGATTATAGAACATTCTGTTTTGAGTTTAAGGAACAATTCCCCACTTTTAACTCTGAAGAAAGAAAGAAAAAGAAGGCATACAGGCTCTTTCATGCCTTGCATGTTAATAAAACAATCATACAGGATGTTTTATAATAGCTCAAAAGGTAACTACAACAGGTTATTTTTGTGGTACCATACCTGTCATTAGAAGAGAAATCCATTCCTAGGACAATGCTTTCTTCAGTGTCTTGTCTACCATTAGTTGAAACCACTACCATATAGCGTGTTCTATTTTGATAAGTACTTTCCAGTCTTACAGCCTGGAAGATAAGAGACAACAGAGAAATTAAGAAATTTAGAAGGAGAAATTTAAGACCATTTAAATCTTTCTGGGGCTGGGGAGATGGCTCAGTGGAATAAGTGCTTCCCTGGCAAGCACAAGGGCCTGAGTTCAATCCCTGGTTCCACCAAAAAAAAAAAAAAAAAA